GGCTTCATGGTTAAAGGTTTAGGGTTTACCCAGAAGGTTCAAGAATCTTGTAATTAGGTACTTGGCAGGGTAATAGCAATTATGGTAAAAGTTTTGGGTAAGTATATGACTATTAGGCCTTGGACCCTTAGGGTTTAGGGCTCCATGATTCGGAGCTTCCAACCTGGGGTTCCGGTGGGTAGTCAGTGCTCGTGGTTCTTAGTTTTACGACCAAGATTACAGAATCTGCGACGTTTGCTGCGGTCAAGGTACTTAGGGTCTAGAGTATGTTCAGCAGTTTTGTGATTCTGCCCTGCGGGCCCCCCAGGTGCATCACAACCGGGGGCAGAATGCCCGGGATTACAGAAACAGGATATGGCAGTCTGACTAAGTAGGGGGCCCCTAATGTAGACCCCAGACTACTATTATAGGGACCCCCGAAAAGGAACCCCTGGTTCGGGGAAATCCCCATATGCGGTTCCTGAGATAATCTTTGTCATATGAGCCATGAGAGCAAAGCAAATCTTAAGAATTACCTTCACAGGAGAACCCAGAAGGGGAACCCACTGACCAAAGGTTCAAAGCTAATCCATGGATCCACATGTACGATTTGCTGCCTTTGCTTTAGGGTCCCTGGCCAGGTGTAGGCTGGCAAGGATAGAACAAATGGGCGAAGGAATGGGGATAGGCAAATGGATAAGAAATGGGTTGGTTCTAACTAAGGAACTCCAAGTACGTTACCAGCTACCAAGAGATGATTATGACGTCCGGGTGAGGATAACTTAGCTTTAAGTTCCCTGGCAACCCAGAGGGTCCAAGTACCTGATAATTAGGTACTTGGGATCAGGGTAACAGTAATTATGCAGGTTCTGGGTAAGTATATAATGATCGGGCACTTGGACCCTTGGGGTAAGAGCAGCCCAGAAAAGGGCCCCTCGGGCTTGGCCGGTTCATCGATTATGCATTTAGGGTTTGCGGCTTAGGATTCAGGATTTAGGGTTTAGCATTTAGGATGTAGGGTTCAGGATTTAGGGTTTAGGGACTTTCTCAAAATGGCCGTGGATGCAGGATTGATCATAGGACCTTACCCTTGGACGTCCAAGTTCATACATACATGATACCTACTGTGGGCCCTAAGGTCTATAGATATACATGTCCATACTTTTGGCTACGTGGAGCCCCCAGAGTTGTTGAGACGCTTTTCACATTACCGTCATAATTTTGGGTTCTATTGAGAGAGCCTTACGCGAAACATCCATGACGGCGCTTCTTTGTCAGGGACCCCGTTTCGCATCTGATTACCTTGCAAGCTCTGCAATCTAAATTCTACCATATATAGCAAGCAAAATCCTTCGTCCGGCCCATTGTCATGAGTATTTTTGCGCCTTGATTTGCTTGACCCATCTTCCGCAAAATGGTTATGGTCTGCTGAGCATGCTTGTCGGCTTGTTACAAGCATGCCTAAAGTCTGGGTTTAGGGTTTGCAGCCTGGATGAAGAACGTACTGTTCTCGTGGAAGAGCATGGCGTGGTGTGCCGACACGGTCCCTCAGCATCAGGCCGGTAACTTTTCAGGTGTTGTGCTTTTGGGTTCATCTCAACCACATCATACGTGCGGGGGGCCTAATACTGAACAACATGCCGCTTGCCATGCTAACAAGTTGGGCCTTTGTCTCCAGTAACTCGGAAACTGAGGACCTCAAAATCCTGATCCCCCAATACCCCTAAGTTGCCTTTTGTTAGTGGAGATCCGGGAAATGGATCCTGGTGATAATCCTAACTCCTGTAGAGCAAGAGGGATATCGCATTCCTTTTTTCACAGTGCTGGTGGTTTACGACTTCCTCCTGCGGACAATACTGAAACAAGAAAACGCTTTCACATCACCTGAACCCAGAGGAATCCAGGGGTTCTCGTAAGGCCCTTTTGGGCCAAGGGGTTTTGTTTAAGGCCTGGGGGTTTTGCTCAGGGCTTTAGCCGGGTGAGGGGTTTAAGTGCTTAGAGGTATGAAGTACCCTGCTACCCCTTAAACCGGAAACCATTTTCAGAGGGCCTAGAGCCTGGGCCATCTGGCTCTAAGGCTCAGTGTCTCAAAAAACACCAATACCATTAAAGGGGATATTATCTAGGGGCTCTGAAGAGTCATAATATGAAGGGTTACAGTAGTATCGTCCCGAAGGTAAGCCCCCCAGATTCAGAACCCCTATAAGGCCCTATATGAGCTATAGTCTAAGCTTCTAGTAGTCCCCAATATGATCCCCAATATAACTCCCTTTAAGGAGTTTAGACCCCAAACCCCAATCCCCACATAATCCCCCAGGCAACCGGGCCCTATATCAGCCCCTATATGACCCCCTTGGAGGAATTTAGGCCCCAAACCCCAGAACCTAAACTCAATATCATCCCCCTTCAACCCGATTTAGGAAATTAACACTATAGTACATATAGTCCTGACTATCTCCTTCGACCCTGCAGAGGGGTACCTTTGGGCGGGATGGTATTATACTCCCTCATTCCCCTCAGGACCCAAATATTGGGGCTTTAGGGCTCAAATACCATTCAGATTATGGTATTTGGGCCCTAAATCCCGATGATTTGGGTCCTTGGAACCTTATTGGCTTCTAGTCTGAGGATGCGTAGGCAGTTGGGTTTAGAGTTGACGAAAGGAATTGCTGAAGCACCCTTGGTACCTTGTACCTTATCGCATGTTAGCATGGATGTTTTGTAAATCGACAGTACTAGAACACGCCTCACATAAACACCAGTACTCTTCGTAGGGCCCTTTGGATTCCATATTTTCTAGGGGAAATCTCTCTGAACGCGCCGGATAGGAATCATAACCATTGACATACTTCGGTGGCCACGTTCAGGAGAACAGGGTGTTGGAGTATACTGTGCAAGCGTTATACAACGACTGCAAGAGGTAGTTTATCATTAGCTATTCAGGTTTCCCACATCCCACGCAGTAGGCTCAGAAGAATCCAGTCTTGACCCTAAACCCTAAACCCTAAACCCCCAAAACTCGAGCAAGGCCCTGT